GCCAAATGCTCACTAAATAGTCAAGGAAAATAGATTTTTTTTGCCTCTACTTTTATTCCTTCTTGTCCTTGCAATTACCAACTCTATTTAAGATTACTGTTAGCACTCTACAGGGATTTGTATGGCTGAGACTGTGAGAAACTGCAATGGTTCTGAAGGCAAAGTAATACTCAGTAGTCCATAACAGCTCAAAGGACTCATCTCTTACGCTGAAAAGTGTCCTCCAAGGAAGCTGCACTCTATGCAAGACCTCCCCCAGGGTCTTGGAGAGACCAGAATGCTGCCCGGGGCACAGCCAGCCAAGGTATGTACGTGTGGACAGCCATTTTGTCTTAAAACTTACCCAAGGAGGAAGAATTATGCTTATAAGCTGTGTCACTGAACCAGGCTGTCCAGAGGAGTGTCTTCTGAACTCCCAGGAATAAGGTGACCCTTTTCTTATTATCATTATAGTGAGTTTGGCATGGAAGAGTGTTTTGGTCAATAAATGCCCAGATGGTGTTGCCAGCATGAAATGACCTTCCAAAGGTCATAACAGTTCAAAATATTTTGTTATGGTTTAATTAACGCAAATTGAAAATGCAAGCAGAGAAAACCATGTTCAATATGTCAAAAAAGGACAAAAAAACCATTGTGATCAATATTATTGCAAGCAATGCCAGCTCCATTACAAAACTGATTAAATAATACTTAAAATGGGGTTAATAACCTGCAAAACAGAGTTCTAAGTAAAAAACAATCAAATAAAAAAACTATTTGTAGGAAAGTATTTACCCTCTACAAGTTGCAGGTATCATAAACACAAACACTATCCGTATAAGATAAAAGTTCTCTACATGGCTTCCAGAGAGAAATACATGTAAGGAAATCAAGAAGTAATGCTTTACCCATAAAACCAGCATGCCTATGCCCAAATGCATCTATAAAACAGCAATATGAAAGGTTGGTACATCTTAGTGCAGCATAGCAAGGAATCAGGTAACCAACGATGAAATCTGAAGAAGAGCTGTGTGGGGCAGTGAGGGCATCAAAGATATTGCCTGTAGGAATGGGGAATGCACAACCCAACAAAAAGGGATGGGATGGGGTCCAGCTCAACATGAAGACAATGGAATGCAGCAGCCTGTCTGCATGCAGGTGTTTACACAGGTGAATCTGGTGTCTGTGTCCTCTAAGTGCCAGAGCAGAGCTGACATTTGCAGTCAATGAAGTATAAAGGCAACTCAGCTCACCCTACATAAATATCTATATTTTGCAGTCAAGTTGGTGGGTGTAGAGGAGATGGAAAGACAGATGATGGATGAATGCTAGGTGAAATCAAAGTTTTATTTATAGTTGTAGGCCTACTCATATTTGAAAACTAGGAGATAGAAGAAAGGAGGTTGACATAAAAAGAAAGAGAAGGTTAAGAGTGATAGAGGCTATGGAATGGGATGGATTAGTAATGAAATCAGTGAAATTTTTAAAGTAAATTAGTGAAACTTGACATATTTGATCCCAGGAAATTTCAAGAGCTGTTTAATCCCCAAACTGGATACAGAAGAAATTGTTGATTTTCCTCCAGAATGAAAGTTCTGGAGGAAAAATTCACTAAAATGAATTAAAGAAGTTGAAAAAATTAATTGCTACATTTCTTAATTAAAAATGAACTTTCTAAAACCTCTGATATTTCATGTCATTACAGCTGAGCTGACTTTCAATATTAAACTACATTTCTTATTGCCTTATGGGACTCGTCATTCTTTTCCATATTCTCTCCTGAAGAACAGACTCAGTTAAAAGACCACTCACATAATATACCTGTAATCATGCAGACCTGTGAATCTGCTATGTTATATGACTTTACAGGAAATTTAGCAATGAGGGAATCCAGCTCACACATGCAAAGGGGCAGAACTATAACTTCTCTAGTACTCTACACATAATAATTGTTTAACCAATTTTGATGTGAAAAAAATAATTTAAAAGTAGTATTTAAATTCAGAAAGCCAAAACCATTTAACCTATATTTTCAGCAGAGAAAAAACAATTATTTCTATTAAGGTCAAGATTTTCTGGAGGAAATCAGAAATGTGTAAAAAATTGCAGCTGTTATTGTAGAACTGCCAGCTATTTCTGCTTATTGCTATTATGAAACTCAGATTGGCACCATAAAAACAGAGCATAAGAGGTGGTTCTTCCTTGAAAGTCCTGCCATCTAAGTAGGTCTGACAGAGCAAAAGTCAAAGCAATTTGCTGAAACTCACACAGAAATTCCATGACAGAGAGACAGAAATAAAGATCATCACTTAAAACTTCCTGACCTACAAAGGGATTTAGAGCAGTAGGTATTATTAAAGAAAAACAGAAGGAGCCCACAGCATGTAGGTGAAAAAAGCTTGACTTGGTAGAGCTTGTCAATCTCTTGGCAAAAGCACGTGAAAATTTTTTAAGAGGAGGGATGTGCTGGAAGGTTGATTCAGATTTTGCAAAAGGAAATGAGCAAGCTCTGGGATTTGCAGCTACAGAAGCCAGAGATAATGCAGAAATCATATTTGTCAAAGGAGCATTGAAGAGCAGATAGTGGAAGAGAGGAAATGCCTGGAGCAGAGGGGGCCCTCAATTTCACCAGCCCAGAAGATCAGGACTCTGATATCCTGCACTGCTTGGACATTGTCTGGTGTGGAAACTGTGTGCTGGTGGCAGAATGAAGAAGGAGGATTTGCCAGGATTTGCCAGGATTTGCACCGAAAGGGGAACACAAAATTTGTCTTATTCACAATTAAAACCTGATAGCAGATTCTGTTAGGTGATCAAGAAGTCATAATGTATCTCAGAGAACCAATATAAGTTTCAGATGTGGCAAAATGAATGTCAATGAAAAGCAAGAGTTATGCATGTAGTGATAAATCATCAAGGTAAGTATCATTTACTATCTAAACACTGATGTCTTTCTTAAATTTTATTTCCCTGAGTAAAATATGCCAGAATTATAAATCACAAAGTGTAACAGAAAAGATGTTTAGCATAAAAAATCTACCAAGCCATAGCTGAAATTAATTCTTGAAGTTAGATTAAATTTGAACAAAAATTACAAATCCCTGTGTGCTATAACAAAGTCCCTTGTGTTGGACCACCATGTCAAGGTGCAGTAATTTTAAGGCATATAAGTGGTTTTGAAGAACTTTTTCCTCTGCAGGTATTAGATTAAAAAAAAAAAAAAAACAAAAAAACGAAAAAAAACCCACTTTTGAAAAACAGAACCTTAGAAAAGATAGGATATTGGAAGAACAATCATTGTAAGAATAGAAAATCTCTCCCTAAAGTCTTTTATGCATCACTCCAAGTACTTTGCATTAATGAGCAGAGCAACCTTAAAAGAACAACATGACCCAGCACACTATAGTGATTCAGTAATCCAGTAGTCAAATAACTATAAAATAATGCTTTTTCTTTAATGCACTGATCTTCATTTGAAATTGTTTCAGACACTTAGGTATTTTTTTAACATCTCAGTGCTCTTCTGATCTCAGTATACAACAGTTAACAGAAAAAGAAAAAAAACCCTACACATATTTACTCCAAGTAACTCTATGCAATGTTACTCCACAGATATTGGTAGATTTTTTCCCTGCTTTTTCCATTGGTATTATCTAAGGAGCAGGCTAAGATATAGGCTCATGTAAGCAATGTGAGAGATTTAGAAAGCAAAGCTCCAGTGCCCTTGTTTTGTTTCAGTATCAGACCTCTACTGTAATCACTGTAGAATTTAGTCTGGGAGCTCATGTTGTCTGTGCTAGAATAAGCATCACAAAATCATTCAGACATGTAATTTCTGATGTCAGAAGAGCACGTCACAATTGCTGCTGAAATAAGGAAGCTATTTTTGGAGTATAGCAATCTTTCAAAAGAAAGCCGTTTACAAAAAATCCAACCCGGGAACATTTTTTACCAAACCACTGACCATGCAATTCATACAGCCAGCAACTCCTCAGTGACCTCTTAACCAGCCTTGAGTTTCCTTTCTGTTAATAGTATTTATGCTAACAAAATGCATGTATTTTGGAAAATTTAAAATTAATCAGATGCAGTATGTGAAAACTTACGAATACATTTAAAATATTTAAAAATGCTTTGAATTAATGCACATAGCATGCATGCATTTAATGCTCTGTATCTCACAACAATGAAATAAGTAGCAGTATTTAGAAATCACAACATCTTAACTGACTAATCGAACTGACATGGAAGTGTAAAACAATGATAAAAACCCTTATCAGAAACAGATCGGTTACAACGCGTTCTTGCATTGACTTTATTAAATGCTTTAAATACTGATAAACTTTACCAGAGAAAAATTAGAAATGATACTGATATGATTTGTATTATTTAAAATCTCTGAATCTGTCAATATAATAATTTCTCCTGCAAACAGCTACAGCTCCTTTAAGCATCCTCAGCAGTATGCTATTAAATTTTAAAGCATTAGCAATGTAGTACCCCCCCCCAAATCCAGCCTTGAACTCTGACAGACACTGATCTCTTTTCTCCCTCCCACACCCTGTTTTATCAGACACTATTTTGTTTAAATTGGCTATTAAATAGCATAGCACTGTACCTTTAAATACAAATCAAACAATATTCATATTCCCACGGTGCTGCTAGTTTCCCTTATGCATTGAATCGCCTGTAGATTAAAAGCTCAGAATCTGAAAAGGATTCTGTTCTGCAGACCAAAGTTCTCTGTAGGAGATGAGGGAGAGGGTCAGTCCCGGAGTCACACACACAACAGGCAGAAAACACACTTGTGATCCTCAGCTTTGGATAGCATCAGAAAGGGGAATAAAAAGCAGAAACACATGGCACACTGAGAACTGGTATCACTTATGGCTTCTAACCAAAGCAGCAATTAAACACCTTTCATCATTCCCCCAAATGCCTGATTTTTGTAAGAACTGAAAGAGACACACACACACAAAGGAAAATCCCCTCTGAGCAGCAAGGAAAACTTAATCACCTACCATTTTCTTTGCACTCTTCTGGAGGTTTAGCCTTTTTCGCAAGTCGTGGATCCAGCCATGATGTTGTCTTTGTGTTATGGCTGAAAAGAAAAGAGATCACTCTGAGCAGACACATACTGAAAGGAATCAAGTTTATTCCTTAAGAAAAAAGGGTTAGTCCAACAAAATTGCAATCGATACACTTAATTTGCTTACTGGTTCTAAGTAGCCCTGAAGGAGGTGTAAGAGTAATTGTGCAAGGCAGTTGTAAATTTGGCAACCTCAGCTCCCTGTCCTCAAAGCAGCTATTTTTATTAAAATCAACTAGAATGTTGCCAAGTTAACCTCATTGAAAATGCAGAACTCATCCAGAGCAAAAGGAATTTATTACAAATACAGTGTTCTCCCGTTGATCGAGTGCAGGCGACAGGATTCTCTACCATTCTCACAGTTTTCGGATAGAATTATTTTCATCTTAAACCTGTCCTTTTTATAAATACAGGTTTGTTATTTCTCTCCAGCAGCAGTGACAAGGCATTGCAAAAGTGATGCAAATTACAGCATGCTCCTGCAAAGTCTACATTTCCGGACAGGGTGATTAATGATACTTTGTTTAACAAACCTTTATCTCTCCATATATAATCCTTCTATAGAGATAAAATAGATATGCACAAGCTGAATGAATCATGTGGCTCCTTTCTATACTCAGAATAGATCTTTGAGAAATCAGCCATCAAAGAGCATTGAACTGGCAAAAATTGTTTTCTGGGAGATCATTTTGCTAAATGAATTATACTTAGCACAGCTAATGAGACTTAAAAGCCAGATCCTTTCAATGTATACTTTACCCATAAGCAATTAAATTTGGAGCCAAATATTGTAAATATATTAAAGAGGATTATAAACCAGAAAATGATGTGATCATTCCTCCTTGATATTTTGAGATGCCTTTCCTACAATACCATCATTCAGAGACACCTCTAACCTATGTTTTATTTATCTGAGACATCCTAGGAGGAAGCTCGTTCCATACAGTACTGAATTATTTCGTTTATTATTAATTTGCTGTGTCATTTTAAAGTGTGCTTATGACTTCTCTAATAGACATTGGTATAAGGTGTACAAATACAGGGGATCTGGCAAAAAAATGGATTAGGATGTAACTGTTTGTGAGTTTGTTAGTTACTGATACAGTCCGTGTGATCCCAACACCACTGGTTCCCCTAGGGAAAAATAAATAAATAGAACCAATGCCTTCTCCCACTTTGTCTTCCATGGCAGATAAATTTTCCACTACCTCGACTTCTCTCTCTCTCTCAAAACAGTGACAGTGCCTACTTCTCAGCATAACTGTCACCATGTTAAAGCTTCCTCCACATTTTGAATGGGAAGGAAGGTAGAGCAGAGTTATGTATGGATAAAATGGCAACTAAAATGAAAATTGAGGCATTTAAATTATTTTTTCTTAAAAGCATTATCTAGTCTAGAGCACCATACATGACAGGTGAAGATGACAAACAAACCCTTCCCTTTGAGAGCTGAGCTATATTTGCAGATATGAAGAATGATGAGCCAAAGGTAAGGTGAATTTGAAATTATGCCAGCAGCCTGTGCTTGATTGCAAGTGTAACTAAGACACTTTCTCAGAAGCTCTGGCTCCTGTGCTCTCCTGTAGGGTGCATTTTTATGCTGCAGTCACAGCCCCACCACAGCTTGTGCAGACATACTTGAGCTAGCTTTAAATTAACTGGGGGAGGTGCTCCAGCAGTATCAGTGCTGCAGGATGGAGCTCAGCATGGGCTCATCACCCCAGCATCCATCCACTGAGCTCCTTGGGTGCATCCAGAAGCACATGCTGAGCTCCACACCACCAGGGATACCCTGTTAGCAGTGCCAGAGCTCAGAGAGAGCTTGGACATTCCTGTGGGAGCTGCAGTTGCATCTCTGGAGTGTGGGCATGTCTGGACAACAGCCACTCTCTCCCAGATCTTAATTCTGAATTATTTTAGGGACCCCCACTGACTGCAGGGACTAAATTAGAATCACAGATCATTTCCTATGACTTTAAAAGAGCAATACTACTAGCAATGTTTGCTGTGGTATAGAGCAAAGCATTTTACAAAGGAACTAAAAATAACCAGCCCTGGTTTAGAGGCAAGAAAATGGAGTCACAAAGTCATGAAATTACTGTCCAGAGCCACCAAAAAAGCCAGTGACAGCAGCAGTACTAAAAGCCAACTCTGTTGCAAATCAACTGGCCAATGTCCACCCACCAGACTAGGCCAATTCACCAGCCCTGAAAACACCCATATAATATTTTTAGAAATAGTTTTCAAGTGTCTGCAAAAACAGGTGCCAAGCTGGAAATAAGCCCAATTAAATATCAATATTTAAAAATGCAAATTAGTTGAATTACAACCTTCAAGGCTTTAGTTGAAACTAAGAACAGCAAGCAGTTACTCTTCCCTGTAGCATAAATGTGGCTTCCCACAGCAGGACTGATGTCACAGTTTTGTGCAAGATGGCCATTTTAAACAAAACCATAAAAAACCCTAAAAAATCAACAGCTCTTCCAACAGAAGAGTGATCCTTCAGTCTGCAGTGAAATTTCACAGAATGGAGATGATATTTCATTTAGATCAGCTCTTAGAGCACTCAATATCCTCTTCTAGGTGATATCTGTCAAACCTGTTCAGCTACTTAGTAAAAGCAAAACTCATCCACTAGAACTTTTGTCTATAACAAACAACTGCAGGAGCAAAGAACCATTTGAAATTCATCCCTCTTTTCCTTGCCCTGCCTCTCCACTTCATAATCTATACTAAACCTACAATGCAGTGGGACTAAACAACTCAAGCAATGGGACTTTAAAGGCCCCTAGACAAGTGCTCTAGTGGGTAAAAATTCCTTTCCTGCTCTGAAGGCAGGACTTGAAAGAAGGAAGAATCAACCCCACCTGACTTCTAACACCTCCACAGTACCATCCATGTCCTCCTATGTTCTCCCTAATGTTTGCTTGGATCTTAGCAACCAGGTACAAAACACACAAACATTCCTTCAAGGAGGACAGGCATGACACATTGCTCTCAGTAAAAGAGGGAAATGAGTAGCCCTGGAGTACAGCATTGTGGTTTTTATGCATGTCTACTTCTGTCCTGCATAGGAGGTTTACTTGGCAGGGTGTTCTTCCCATCTCCCTTGTGTCAGCTATTCCCTCTTCAGCACTGCAAAGGACTAGAATGTGTAACAGCTAAAGGGAGACAAACTTTATCTCCTGTTTTTAGTAAAATTTAAAGGAAGCCTCGATAGGAAAGCTTCAACTGTGGAAGAGACAGAAGGAACAGTAAATTGGTCAAATTAACACTAATGGTAAAAGAAACATGAACACATATCTCCTGCATAGGCTGGGCACACTGAATGCTTAAGCACTAGAAAACCCCTGTAGGGGCATAACCTGCCTACCTTACCACTAGGTATATTCATGTGTGTCCACTTGGGAGTCTCATAGACAGACCAGAAGGAAAAGGGGCTGGGATTTATGGACTAGTTATGAATGAAGAGCAGATGAATTGCAGCAGCAGCTGTCTCAAACAGGCATTTGGAGTTGTCAGTGGTGGGACGACAGTGAAGTGATGCAACAAAAGCATCCTGTGAGAAATACAGCTGTGGCTCCAGCAATGTTTTACACTGACCAATGCTTCATGACTTGGCAATAACTATACCTTATCATTAAAAACATGTCTAGAAAGTCCATGATTTCAATGATTTTGATTACTAGTTAGGACTACTGAGATAAATGCTGGCAAATCAACAATGAATGTCTTACAATCTCTCTAAAAATCAACAGTAAAATCCTAATTTTTGAAATTTTGGAAGCAAAGTTTCCTTAACAACGGATGCCTTTGGTCTTGCTTCAAGCAGGTGGAGCATGGAAAGAGCAAAACTTTTTAAAATTCACCCAGATTTGTTACCTACATACAAAACAGAAACTGCCTATAGGCCTGAAGTGTATTGCAATTGGTTTTTTTGGTCTTTTTTATAGGTCGTTCAGTAAAACAGTGGAGCTTAATATTTTAGCCAAAAGTCAATAAAATAATTATTGCTGAACTAACTTAAATCCTCTCTCTTTGCTAAGTATTTGCACCTAGCAGAAACAGTTTATTATAATCAGTCATCTGGTATTAGTTGCACACAATTTTAAATATTTGTGAAAAAAATGTTATTCAGCTGGGTGAAGAGTGAAACAAAGAGTGAAAGAAAGCACAGAATACTTCCCAGAAGTATTGACTCAACCTCATGCTCTTCTCCAGATTTTCTTTGTAGCTCTGCTTTTAAGACTTCACAGAGACTGTTTAAATGCCTCTGTTTCCTGTTAATAGTTCTGGAGCTGGGTACCAGGACCAGAGGCTTTCTGGGAATCCCACTGGATACTACTCAATATCTTTAGAAAGTAAAAAATACTAGGAGCATGGCTTTTCTTATCTAACCAAGTGTTATCTTTTTATTATAATTATTTGCTAGACAGTATATTATTTTATTTAAGATTTGAATACAATGGATTTGTGTTAAGAAACTGTCAGTTTAAAGCACTTTGACAGATAAAGTTTCTTGTACTAAAAAAGCCCACAGGCAACTTCTTGAAACATTTTTGAAGGAAATACAGAAAATACTTACTGACAGGAATAGCCTTAATGTCTTTTAAAAGCACTGCAAACCGGGTCTAAATTGTGCATTTTGCAAGGTATGTAACTTGCATGTTATTGTGGAAAGCATTTCAAAATGGGCATTGTTTCAGTGTGTTTGGGGGAAGCACATGTGGGTTTGTTAGGGTTTTTACTGTGAACACATTACATTTGAGCTGGTCCTCGATCTAACAACTTGAGCAAAGGGGAGCAGACAGAAGAAAACCACAATGCTCTGTAATGGCCTGACTTCAGCAATGCTAACCCCTCCCTCCTTCTTCTTTATGCTGAAGCTTTGCTTATCTGCAGAGATTTTCAAGTGACACAGTAATGATATTCAAGTAATTTGTGTATGGAGGTTCATGGATAGGAAAACAAAGCATTAAACCAGCAATTTTGCAACCCGTTCATTGTGGGAT